CATTTATTGATTCTTGATTTTAATTCTTGTGCCAAAGGAGTCTTATTAAGGAAGTTGGGGCCTAATCCCACATGATGGAGATTAGGGCCTACTTTTTCTTCTATTAGACGCAGAGTCTCTGCTTTTATTCTTAAGTCCTTGATCCATTTTAAGTTGACTTTTTGTGCATGATGAGAGATAGGGGTTTAATTTCATTTTGTTGCATATGGATTTCCAATTTTCTGAGCACCATTTGTTGAAGAGGCTACTTTTTCTCCAGTGCATGTATTTGGCACCTTTGTCTAATATAAGATAATTGTAATTTTGTGTGTTAGTCTCTGTGTTCTCTGTTCTGTACCATTGGTCTACCAGTCTGTTTTGGTGCCAATACCATGCTGTTTTTGTTATTATTGCTCTGTAGTATAGTTTAAGGTCTGGTATAGTGATGCCACTTGCTTCACTCTTCCTGCTAAGGATTGCTTTAGCTATTGTGGGTCTCTTATTTTTCCAGATGAATTTCATTATTGCTCTTTCTATTTCTATGAGGAATGTCATTGGGATTGCATTAAATCTGTATAGTGCTTTTGGAAATATGGTCATTTTGATAATATTAATTTTGCCTATCCAAGAGCAAGGTAGATCTTTCCATCTTCTAAGGTCTTCTTTGATTTTTTTTCTTTAGGGTTCTATAATTTTCATTATATAGATATTTCACCTATTTTGTTGATTCCCAAGTATTTTCTTTTGAGGCTATTGTAAATGGGGTAGTTTTTCTCATTTCCCTTTCAGAGGATTTGTCACTGATATTCAGAAATGTATTTGATTTATAGGTGTTAATTTTATATCCTGCTACTTTGCTGAATTCATTTACTAGTTCTACAAGTTCTCTGGTGGAACTTTTTGTGTCTTCTAGGTATAGAATCATATCATCAGCAAATGGTGCCAAAGTGAGTTCTTCTTTTCCTATGTGTATCCCTTGATATCTTTCGTCTGTCTAATTTCTCTGGCCAGTGTTTTAAGAACTATGTTAAATAGAAGTGGTGAAAGAGGGCATCCCTGTCTTTTTCCAGTTTTTAGAGAGAATGCCTTCAATTTTTCTCCATTAAGAATGATTTTGGCCTGGGGCTTAGCATAGATAGACTTTATGATATTGAGGTATGTACCTGTTATCCCTAATTTTTCTAGTGTTTTGAACATGAAGGGGTGCTGTATTTTTGTCAAATGCTTTTTCTGCATCCATTGAGATGATTATAAGATTCTTATCTTTAAGTCTATTGATGTGATGAATTACATTTATTGATTTCCATATGTTGAGCCAAGCTTGCATCCCTGGGATGAATCCCACTTGATCATGGTGCAGCATCTTTTTGATATGTTTTTGTATTTGATTTGCCAGAATTTTATTGAGAATTTTTGCATCTATGTTCATTAGAAATATTGGTCTGAAGTTTTCTTTTGTTATTGTGTCTTTGCCTGGTTTTGGAATCAGGGTGATATTGGCCTCATAGAATGAGTTTGGAAGTGCTCCCCCTTTATCTATTTTCTGAAATAAATTGAAGAGTATTGAAATTAGTTCTTCTTTAAAGGTCTTGTAGAACTTGGCTATGTATCCATCTGGTCCTGGGCTTTTCTTGATTGGTAGAGTTTTGATGGTATCTTCTATTTCATCACTTGAAATTGATCTGTTTAAATTGTGTATATCATCCTGATTCGATTTGGGCAAATTATATGACTCTAGAAATTTGTCAATGCCTTCAATATTTTCTTTTTTACTGGAGTACAGGTTTTCAAAATAATTTGTAATTATCTTCTGTATTTCTGTAGTGTCTGCTGTGATATTTCCTTTTTCATCATGTATGTTTGTGATTTGAGTTTTCTCTCTCCTTCTCTTCATTAGCATGGCTAAAGGTTTGTCAATTTTATTTATTTTTTCAAAAAAACCCAACTTTTTCTTTTGTCAATTTTTGCAATTGTTTCTTTTGTTTCAATTTCATTGATTTCAGCTCTAATTTTTATTATTTCCTGTCTTCTCCTAGTTTTGGTGTTGATTTGTTCTCTTTTTTTTTGTAGGGCCTTGAGATGTAATGTTAAGTCATTCGTTTGTTGACTTTTCTTCTTTTAAGGAATGAAATCCATGCAATGAACTTTCCTCTTAGTACTGTCTTCATAGTGTCCCAGAGATTTTCATATGTTGTATCTGGGATCTCACTTACTTCTAAGAAAATTTTAATCTCCTCCTTGATGTCTTTGGAGGATGAAATCAGAAAGGAGCCTTAGGCGTGCAGTGTGTGGCTGTCGGCTGACTTCAGAACCTGTGTGAAGTTGCAGGTGCAGGCAGGCTACTACTGCATGTAGGGGACTATATCCACTGCTACAGAGTCCCAAGATGGCGGCAACTGGGGGAGCGCCACATTGGTAGATGGGGGTCCACCTGGGAATGACGGCTGGAGTTCCTGCATGGGAGAAGCTGCCCCTTGTCCTACGTGGGAGTGGCATCCATGATTTATGCTTGGGTGGGTAGCCAAAAGATCTGTGCAGATGCTGATGGTGTTGCTCAGTACTGGTAGTCCTGTATGGGCAAGTAGTTGGGAGACCTAATTGACACTGAAGCTTGGAGCACCAGATGGGCACTGTGGCTATTATTCCTGCTTGGGAGCAGGAATATCACTTGCAGAGAAGCATTATACTCACTACTTGAGTCCCAGATTACAGAGCAACAGAGAATGCTGCCTCCCTCTGGCCCGCCATCTTGGATCTCCCCGCACTTAATGTTCTTTAAGACTCACAGACATATGACCAGTTCTGGATCCATGACCAATCTTTTTTAGGTACCTGGGATTGAACTCAGGGGCACTCAGCCAATGAACAGCCACTGAGCCACATCTCCAGCCCTATTTTGTATTTTACTTAGAGATAGGGTCTTTGTCTCACTGAGTTGCTTAGCACCTCACTGTTGCTGAGGCTGGCTTTGAACTCTCCAGTCAAAGTAATCTTGAGCAAGAAAAAGAAAGTTAAAGATATACATTCTCTGACTTCAAATTATACAACAAAGCTGCAGTAATCCAAAAATAACAGTACTGGCATAGAGACAGACATATAGACCAATGGAATAGAATAGGGAGCCCAGGAATGGAGTTATGCCCGGGAGTGTATGAACAGGGGTCTAAGAGTGGTCCCCCTGAAGGAAATCAGGAGCAGTCATTTGACATAAGAAATAGAGAAATTAGCTCAACGAGAAACAGCAAATATCAATTTCATGCTTGACTTTTTTTTCTGCTTTTAAATTAGATATTTTCCCATCTTCCCTGAATAGAACTGGGCCAGGCTTACCTCTTTAACTACAGCTCTCCCCACTCTCCCATGATCCCTTCCCTTCTAGGTCATGGATGTCTTTCAGGTCTATGAATTTTTTTGGTCTCTTTCTTTGGTCTCATTTTTTGGCCTCTTTCTTTCATCACCACATCTTTCTGGTCTTCCAAGCTCATCTGGTTTCTCTCTTCCTCTTTTGTCTACTTAAGTAAATTAAAATCATTCTCTTAGGAAAGCAACCATCACTGGGATGCCTTCCTTGACTCACCAAGACGGGATTAAGTTTTCTTGTTACACAGTCCCATAAAAAGATGTGGCATAATCACAAACAAAAGCATTTGTGTAAGCTTGTGTTCTGGACATTAGGCAAATCTGCAAAGGATATCTCTTTCCATTCTCATAATGGTTCTGTGCAGTGCTTGTGTTATTACTCTTGGGAAGATAAGGCTACTTAGGCCAAATGGTTTAGGAATTTGTCCAAGGACACATCAGTAGTAATAGTATGTGCCAGTTTTATTACTCTATTTATTTATTATTTGTGTGTGTGTATGTGTGTGTGTGTGTGCACATGGTATGAGGATTTAACCCAGGGATCTTCTACCTCTGAGTCACACTTCCATCCCTTTTTGTCTTTATTTGAGACAGGGTCTTACTAAGTTGCTCATGCTGCCCTAGAACTTGCAATCCTCTTGCCTCAGCTTCCCAAGTCGCTGGAATTACAGGCATGGGCCACCATATCTGACCCAGTTTTCTTATTCTAAATACCATGAATTTCTGCTTATTCTTTGTAGCCCTGGTGTATTAAGGGCTACTGACAGTAGAGGAATCATTGGTGCTGAAGGCTTTGGTAATTTCTAACACTTTACTCCACACAGGAGCTGGTAGAAGCTGTCAAGGAAACAGTCAATTAGTGCTGTGTTTAAGGTTGCTTTTCATCTGAATTACCTGAGTCCCTAAAGACTCTCTTTTTTGTTTATCTACCAAAATTGAGCAGACTTCAGGCTTGCGCTAACATGGAACAATTAGTCCAAGAATGACAATTCTGTTTTAACTGGCTTTTCATGTCTAAAGATATCCGGGTACCTTGTTAACACTCGGTATGCAGCTTTCTCTAGAGGTGGGTTCAAATGTGGGAGGAAGTGGGAAGTCATTCCCTATATAGAAGAAGATGTAGGAAAGGAAAATTGTGGTCTTGTTCTCTTCCCTTGTATGTGCATAATACTTGAGGGTTTAGAGTTTGCACTTATCATTTATAACTTTCTGCTCACAAGTATAAGTTTAGCCAAAGCAATTTTAACATACTCAGAGTGTTCTGTTTCAGAACTTTTGTAAATAGAAAATAAAACCCTCTTAATAGTCTATGGCAAACAACCTTTTCAGTTTGCTCTAAAATAAGGGTTTTATGGGATGCAGGACTTTTAGGGCCAAACCTGGGAAAGTTCCCAGCAAAATGTGATGAGGTGGTTGGCCTATCCAATATAGATGTTCCTGAATAGATGGGGAGTAGGGGGTGGTAAATAGCCTGCTGACTATTTTTGTCATTAAAATTTTACTGAAACACAGATATACCCATTTATTTACATATTGACAATGGTTTCATGTTACGCTGGCAGAGTTGGAAGAGACTATATATCCTAAAAAGCAGAACATATTTACTATCTACTCCTTTATAGATAAAGGTTGCCAATCTCTGATATATATTTTCCCTGAAGGAAATCTTACAAAGGAACTGTGCAAAAAGAGCTGAAGAAGTCTTCAAGGATAACCCAACCCACATCCAGAACTGTGAACCCTACATATTTTATTGCATGATCGATCGACAGCCATAAAATGGTTCTATATGGTAAAGTTCTAAAAATCCACTTAGTCCTTAATAAGAAGGTAATGCTAACCCTTATCTAGAAATACCTATACGATCATTGCTATTTTATCTTATCTAAAGTTCTCTTCTTTGTCTAAGTTCAGTGCCCTGGGATTTAGCCTCCTACTATCAGGATAATTTGGAGAATTAGAATTTGTCAATGATCAACTTAGTTCTTTAACCTATATATTTCCAACAAAGACCTATGACGCTGGCTGCCTGCTTTGTCTACCAAAATGGACTCTAGAATCAGATACTTTAGTTCAAAACATAGCTCTTTATCCTACTACTGTAATCCTGTGTGGGTTCAACTTTTTTGATCTGTTTTTTTTTTTTTTTACCTGTTAATGCAGACACTAGTAGTCCCTGCTAGGTCACTGTGGTAGGTTAAATGAATTAATGCAGTCAAAATACTAAATACAGGGCTATACATCAGAAGCATTCAACACAGTTAATTGGCTATTATAATATCATTATTATTAATAGCTTCTAAAATCATTATTTGGTCAATTATTCTAGCTCAGACTCCAAACTAAAACATAAAACCTACTGGGGGAAAAATGTGAATGTGGTGATCATTTCTGTCCTCACAGGTCCAAGAAGCACTTTCTCAGAGACATATGCACTGAGCCTCTTGGGACTCATTCAGTGGGTCCCAGGTAGCATAATACTTCATTCTTCTCAGGAATTCAGCCAGAGGCAGAACTGGCCACTCTACTTTGATGTCACAGGTAAGCACAGAGTCACTGAGGGAGGTTAAACAGTAGCCAAGGTCACAAGAGTTAGTACACAATGTTGTTCACATAGAGGTTCTCCTCTTATTTCTCTTGATGTGCAGTGATTCCTTAACTAGTGTTTATCGCCTTCTGTGTATTTTTAAATAATCCATAATGCAGATATGAAAAAAATTATTAAATGGTATTAGATATTGAAATATTGCCCTAAACATCTATAGTAAGGGCAAAACAATTTATTGATAAAAGAAGAAAAATGAAGTCAGGTTAATTCAGGTAGGTCCTCTGACACTGGTCTCTCTGAACCTCTGAGACTTCACAGAGATTGGTAGCAGAAGCCACAAACATGGGGACAGGGGAAGCCCTGAGGAAGCTCATTACAGATATTGACTTCATCCTGAAATAATATTTTAATGAGAACATTTAACTCACAAAATACTCCTTTGCTGAAAACTTTTGTTCTTCCAATGCCTCTTGTGACACATACTTTGACCCAGAAAATTTATTCTGGATGATCTGAGAATTTTTGAGTTGAAGAGGACTTGCTATATTTTTGATGCTGAATGTCTCCCACAAGTGATGTGAAAGGCTTGGTCTCCAGGGCAGTGCTATTGGGAGGTGGTGGAACCTTTGAAAGGCAGGACTTAGTGGGAGGTCTTAGGTCATTCAGAGTGCCCCTGAAGGAGGCTGCAGGACTCCTGTCATTCCTTCCTCATTCTCTTTGCTTTCCGTCCATGAGGTGAGGGCTTTTGCTCCACCACATACTCCCACCATGATGGGCTACCTCACTACAATCCCAAAGCAACATTATGAACTGGAACCACCAAAGCTGGGAGCCAAAACAAACTTTTATCTTTGTAAGTTTATTACTTCAGGTTATTTGTTATAGTGATACCAAACTGACTAGTACAGGATTTTGGGGGGGGGGGTAATTTTGAACAACACTATTTTTTCTTTTAATGATAACTGAAGTTCAGTGAAACTAAATGGCATGTCCAATGTCATAACTTAAAGAATTAAAACTAACATGATGGAACTTATATCCCTTGACTGTTGGTTTAATGTTCTTTCTTCTGTGAGCTTTCCCCTATATGTTCCTGGTATATTTTTCTATAACCTATAAATCATATTCTAAGCCCAACCTCTTTAGTTAGTTTGGAAATTGTGACATTATGTTTAGGCTATAAACAGGCAAAATCCCAGGTCAGACCCAATTTTTGAGTCTGTGCAGTCCTATCCTTGTCTGAGACCTGAGTTCTACCTTTCATAAAAACTCCATTAGTTTTTCCTCTCTCTATGACTTGGTTTGTTTTATTGTAATGTGGATTGGCAAAGTTTATCTTCATCTGCACTCAGTATTTAATAGAATACAAGAACATTAGCATGAAAGAAAATCAGCACCTGGTAAAGACTAAATGGTAAAGGAACAAGTGTTCAGAGAGGAGACGGAAGCACTTTGGCTGCTGCCAAACAGCAGCATTGACTGAAGGAAGCAAATGGTCTGCACGTAATTCTGTGAAGCAGCCTGAGACTAGTGAAAATTCTAGATGTGAACCTGTGAGTGATGGAGACCCAGCTCAAGAAAGAAACTAGAGAAAAGGGTTAATTGTACAGCAGTCACTTCTTGCCACATTGCAATGAGGGCTCAGGCATCTAGCTAGGTGAATTATGTTTAAACATGGTCTCCTACCTTGCAAACTTTTTGATGTTGGTCCAGTTGTATAACCTCTGTAAGTCTCAGGGGTTTTTTCAACAATAACAGGAATAAAAATGATATTTGCTTCACTGAGTTAAATTTGTAAATATTGTCTAGTGCTTGGTGTGAAGACTTAGGACATGCTAACCATAATAATTATAATTACTAGCATCATCTTCATCATGACCATCATCATTGTTTAAGTCAGCTTTTTTTTGTCACTGTGACCAAAAGACCTGAGAGGGATAATTAGAGGAAGAAAAGTTTGTTTGGGTCTCACAGTTTCAGAGGTCTCAGTCCACTGACAACCGACTGCATTGCTCTGTGTCTGAGATGAGGCAGAGCATCAGGGCAGAAGGGTGTGGTGGAGGAAATTAGCTAAGAACAAGGCCACCAGGAAAGGGGGGTATTCCACTCATCAGGGATGAAATGTAAACAACAAAGGCATGGCCCCAGTGATCTAATTCCTCTAGCCACACCCTACCTGCCTAAAGTTACCACCCAGTTAATCCGTATCAGTGGATTAATCCACACATGAGTTTGTGGGGATACCTCACATCTAAAATCATAACAATCATCATCATCATCATCATCATCAAAAAAATAATCACCATTCTGTCATAAAGTCCATTTCTCCTTTCTGGAAAGGATCTGCAGTTAAAGAAAATCTCCACTACTTATATCTGCAAACTATTTATTTTATGTTATGGTTTTGGGCATACTTCCACATTTATTTAAAATTACAGGTAACATATATTTTAAAGTTCACATTTGGGGGATTTTTAAGAAGTTATATGGTGCACATATAGAATATGCTACATCACAATCCCAGCAAGCTCTGGAGTAACACCCTGTCATCACTCATGCTCACTTTTGTGTCCAGGGTCCCCAAGATTGCTTCCAGACCTGGTTTATCATACATTTATATTCCTGGATATGAATTTTTACAACATAAAAACACAAAACCAGCAAAGGAAAAATGCTCATGGGGAGAAGTCCAGAGGAAACCAGGCATAAGGTTCCAGGAGTATTCCTCAGTGGACTCACAGGATGCACTTAACATCTCTGGCCACACATTGCTACAACACAGTGAAGTGTTGACTGCCAGAGAAGCTCATGAGACACTTGGAACTCAGAGGTTTTAGTTATGATTCAGACATACACATCCTTTTGCTCAGCACTTGCCGAAACTCAAGAATCCCAGGAGAAAAACAGGTTTTTAGCATAAACCAGGGGTTTGCATGAATAGCTTGAGCACAGTGACCCACCACTATAAGTTGGGGAACGGTAGCAACCTTCCCACAATCCAAGTTCCCAGAGTCTAGTGAGGAACCAACCTGGCAAGGAGGCCTTTTCAAGAGTGTGGCAGTTTCAGTTCTATTCTGTTGACTTTTTGACCCAAATTTTTGTAGGAAAATATATGAATAATAATACTAAGAGGGATAAATGCAGATTACAAACTCATGTTAGTTTAGCTTTGCTACCAACTAAGATTACATATAGTGTTGCTGTAAATGATGTCATGGAAATCAGGTTTGCAGAATTTCTTGGATTTTGGAATTGCAAGTAAGGAATTATTATTCTATTTTTTTCTCTGTCTCCTATTTTTTTCCTATATCCCTTCCTTCCTTCTTTCTTTTACCTTTGATAAGTTCTCTTATTATATAAAATATAGAAGAATAGCATAAAAATGAAGTATATAATTATAAGTTATTTTTTAACCACATATAAAGTGGTACAATATCTCTTGAAGGTAGATTGTAATAAGTTCAAGACAAATTGTAAGAGAACGACTAAAATAACAAAACATATAGTACAGTTAATATAAAAACAAGGTGATGAAATGGAATCATAAAAATACATTTGACTCATTCCAAAGAAAGTAGAAAAGGAGGAGAAGAAAAAAAAAAGAAAAGATAGGACAAATAGAAAATGAATTAAAAAATTATAGATTCAAAAATTATAGTGTCAGTAGTCACAGGCAATGTAAATGGCTCAAATATCTCAGTTAAAAGTAAAAATGTCAGAGTGGATTAGAAAAAAATAGACCACCTACATGATGGTTGAAATGAATATTATAAAACCACAAAAAGACAGAAATAAAATAATGGACAAAGACACAGAATAGTCAACACAATATTGAAGGAGAAGAACAAAACCGGAGGCCTGACACCAGCCACTTGAAGACTTACTTTAAAGCTACTGTAATCAGGACAGACTGCTGTTGTGAAAGAATAGAGGAATAGGTCATCTGAACAGGAGAGCCCAGAAATAGGTTCACATAAATATAGTCAACTGATCTTTGGCAAAGGAGCAAAATTAATACAATGGAGCAAAGAACAAAAATTTACAAAATAGCACTGGAAAAACTGTACACCCACATGCAAATATAAAAAAAAATCTAGACACATACCTTATACCCTGAATAAAAATAACTCCAAATGGCTTAAAAACTAAACATAAAATGCAAAATTAGAAAATTTATAGATGGCAACATAGATGAAAATCTAGATGGCCCTGAGTTCAGTGATGATTTTTTAGATAGGACACCAAAGAGAGATGGAAGTGATAAACTGAATTTCATTAAAATAATAATAAAAAAATCTGTTCTGCAAAAGATATTGTCAAGAGACTAAAAAGATAAGCCATCAACTAGGAGTAAACATTTGCAAAAACATATCTGATGAGAAACTGTTACCCAAAACATATAAATAGTACTTAAAATTCAACAATAAATAAATAACCTGATTTTAAAAATGGGCCAAAATTCATAATACCTTATCTTATTGTTAGAAACATGAAGATAGTTAACAAAGCTATGTATAGTATGTTATCAGGAAAATATGAATTTAATCAATGAGATACCATTACAAACCTATTAGAATGGCCTAAATTAAGAACACTGACCATACCACTGGCTGGGAAGGATGTGGAGCAGGAGGAACTTTCATTTATTGCTCGTGGCAGGTGCTATGGTTTGGTTGTGAGATGTTCCCCAAAAGCTCACGTGTGAGACCATGCAAGAGATTCAGAGAAGAAATGATTGGGTTGTGAGATCCTTAATCCAATCAGCACTCATGATCCAATTACTTCCCCAAAGTCCCACCACTTCAGGACATTGCTATATTAGGGACCAAAGCCTACAACATATGACCCAAAATTTGAATCAATCAGATGTCTTTCAGTAGGTGCTATGGCTTGAGTGTTGCTTGTTCCTCAAAGAATCGTGTGTGGGGAGCTTGGTCCCCAGTGTGATAGTGTGAAATCTGATGGAACTTTTAATAGGTAGAACATACCATGA